CTTGTAATGCTTTTGAGAATGGAAAATGAAAAAAAAAAAATTTGACTAGGTTGATTTTATTTTACAGCGAACGTCAATTTCGTTTTTCTTTTATTTCATGTTGGATTTAGGTTTGTAGGCAACAAATATTGTACATCACGTGAAACTGGCATTTGGAGCACTCAATCCAAAAGGCTGCAACAATTAAGGGATGGTCAAACACGCAATGAATTCTCGGCAATTTTCACGTAATATGGTTTGAAAAGTCAAAGAAAGTTGGCAACAAATTGGTAAAACTTGATTCATTTCACTGTCACAGCAATTTTCACATTTTTTTGGTTTGAAAAGTCAAAAAAGGTTGGCAAGTACAATTTAGAAATTTTGCTGAAATTTATTCTGACAGTAGACATGCAACGGTTCACACCGAGCCGACGCCTTTCCGAAAGCCGGTCTCTCCTGCCTCTTCTCTCCATCTTCGGGTACTTCCTCCAGTTTCATAGCTACCACATTTGTAATATTAATATCTAATTTTTGGTATTTGTATGCATTGAATTAATCTTATTGGACGGCTAGTTATTTATATATTTTTGGATTGGGCTACCTTAAGTTGTAAAAGTTACGATTGAAATGTCATTAGTTGTAATTATNTACGTTAATTCGAAAAAGTTACAAATGAAATGTCATTAGCTGTCTTTCTATAGTGTTGCTGTAAATATTAAAAAAATTAATTATGGTTCGAAACCGAACCGAACGGAACCGAACCCGAACGATTCCATAATTATATTTGCACTCGACCATTCCATTTATTAAATATCCGAAAGTTTTGGGTGAAGAGAAACGAACCGAACCGATCCACGGACAACCATATCAGATTCCAATATCTGATCACTGGGGATGCGGGCCTTGAACAGATCAGAGATGAAATTCACACCGACGGTTCAATTTATTAAATATCCGAAAGTTTTGGGTCGATTCGATTTGGTAACTGAACCGATCCACGGATAGCCATATTAGATTCCAATATCTTATAAATGGGAATGCGGGCAACGAACAGATTCTAGACGAAATTCATCTGTTCATCATTGTGCTAGCACTGAAGAACAAATTCGGGTCGACTAAGGAATCCCTATATTCCAACCCTGATTTTGGATCGAAAGTGGAACTGAAAGTGGAAATTCATCTGTTCACCATTTCATTTCTTGAAATTTTTTTGGATGGAATTGTGAATTCGTGGATGAATGATGTTGNTATGCACAATTTCTTCTGCGTATTACTGTATCTGTAGGTACAGTTGGTTTTGTTATGCGTTGATCTCATATTCATTAGTAAAGAAACCACTGTAAAGCACTAAAATATAAGGCACCCGCCTACACTCCCCCAACCGCACAATAAAGAGAGAGTGAAAATTCAATCGAAAAAAATCTCTGAAAACATAAAATGCTGCACGAAAGAAATTGTACATTGGAATGATGTATTGAAGTCATATATTGTCCACAACCAGATGATTTCTCTCTTTTGGTTGGCTTCGATTTCTGCAGGTTTCCAATATTTTTCCCATTGAGGACACCGGTTTCTGTGGAACCATATACATACTCATTTGGAGGTCCATTTTTGGCGGCGTTGTGGTTCTACCAAGGTAACTCA